AAAGACCAAACCAGGAGTGCCATGAACATCACAAAGAAGGCCACTTCGATCCACGAAACGATCCCCAGTGGCCCCCTCACCAGCACCGGTCTCTTCCACATTGCCAATCCCTTATTCCTTTCCATGCCATTCCTGTTTTTCCACCATTAAGTGATTCAAGCAGCCATAGAAGCTGATAAACTGAGAGACGAATCAAACAGCCGTAGAATAGATTAATACTTTCCCACTCGGGGCTCGCTCGATTTGTTACCCAGATGGAGGTACACACAGCCCAAGCAAGCGATGAACAGGACTGGGAATGTGAACATCAGAATCGTATAACCTGTTTTCTCATCACAACATTAAAGAACTCACCAATTTAGTAGAAATTAAAAACATGAAGGACATAAGAAGGAGAAAAAAGAAGAAGGTAAGAGGGGTGCAGGAGTCAGATTCTATGCCTTGATTTCCGAAGTAGGTGGAAGAGCCGGATTTGGCCCTGATGCTGGGCGACCAACGATTGCGGTACGTGTTGGTGGGCATCACTATCCAAATCAGAACAGTCCCGAGAAACACCACCATGAACAAGACCCATATTGCATCTCTGACGATTCTCTTAGCTCCACCAGAAGAAGCAGATGAAGAAAATGAAGGTGGTGATGATCTTCTCATGGTACCAGAGTCCATCTTTCTCTCTCAACCTCTCGGTGACGTGTGTGTGTGCGCGCGCGTGTGTGAGAGAGAGAGAGAGAGAGAGTTTTAGTGATCGAAGGAAGAGTGTGTATAAGGAATGTGTGGAGTGAATCTGTACATGTGTATTTATATATAGGGAGAAGGGGTGGGACTTAAGGTCGATATCATTTGTAATTAATTTCGCATTTCAGAAGGGAAAGCATGATTCATGTCCCTCCCCAAACGTCAAATGACCATATACAGTATATTAGAAACCGTTTGTTAAAAAAATATCCTTATAATTTTATCGAGATTAGCTTGAATATACCAGACATTTGGCATATAATTCACATATTTAGCATATAATGTGCATCTTCTATGTGGTCGGATCTAAGTCTAGATTCATGGTGTGGTATGTTCGATTGCCTTTTGTCCAATTTGGTTCGACGCCTATAAACAGGCCATAGCAGTGATATCGAAGTGAAGCAATTCGGTCGTTCTGCCATTCTTCTCATCTTCTAAGTATTTAGTCCATCTTCGGCATAACATTTATATTCAAACAAGTACCGGCACCGTCTAGAATTTGCACAGTCGAAACTTATTATGAAAGGTACACCGCAAAAAGAATTACAAAATAATCGGTCATCCTTCGAATTTCAATTGCGCCCACGTCTGAATCTTAGCACATACTTTACTTTTGAGATAAGATTATATGGGAAGATGCAATTTTATTGATTTTCTTTTTTTGGGTAAGCTGCAAATTTGTTGGGGGGAATGTTAGATGAATTGGGAATGTGCAAATGGTCATTGTTTAGGAGTGGATATGACTTGGGACAATGGCAAGGATCATGCAACCCCCCTTTTTGACAATAATGGGGACAATATCTTTCCGCTTTCTCACACTATCGCTCTCATCTCATTCTCGAGCTCGATGAAGACCTAGGATTAAGTTAATTCGTTAAATTATTTCATTAACAAGAAATGGGGAGATTTGTATACTTGACTCTTATTAAATTATATGTACACATACGATTCTTGTTATGCTACCGTAGAGAGTATAACAAGGCAATAAGTATGGGGTTTGAGCTAGTGCATGTACAGCTCGTGTTTGAGCAAGAGTTGTATGTGGATGCGGGGCGTGCTCGATGTGTGGCAACACGTGCCAGCAGCTGATTTCCACTCATTTAATTCTCTCTTTTATTTTTTTCTTTTCTCTTTTAACTATCTCTCTCTCAATTTAGGAGATTGAGCCTTTTAAGGACCTACTCAAGTCCAAAATGATCATTGTTTAGGAGTGGATATGACTCGGGACAATGGCAAGGATCATGCAACCCCCGTTTTTGGGGGCAATATCTTCCCGCTTTCTCACACTGTCGCTCTCATCTCATTCTCGAGCTGGATGAAGACTCAGGATTAAGTTTATTCGTTAAATCATTTCAATAACAAGAAATGGGGAGATTTGTGTATTTGACTCTTATTAAATTATACGTACATGTACGATTCTTGTTACGCTACCGTAGAGAGTATAACAAGGCAATAAGCATGGGGTTTGAGCTACTGCATGTACGGTTCATGTTTGAGCAAGAGTTGTATGTGGATGCGGGGCATGCTCGATGTGTGGCAACACATGCTAGCAGCTGATGTCCACTCATTTAATTCTTTCTTTTTTACAGACCAAAAAAAAAATTCTTTCTTTTATTTTTTTCTTTTCTTTTTTAGCTCTCTATCTCTTTTTTAATTAATGTTTCATCTCAGAATTCCATTAACTCTTCGGTTTATCTTACGATTCCCCAGGTGGACCCATTTGGAGCACACCAAGCTCCTCGTAAAGAAGCTCCAAAAGTTCATAAATACCCCTAGTAGGAGGGGTGAGTACGAGTAAGACAGACCGCTCGAATCGGGACTGCGCGGATTGGACTGAATTGGCCGATTGTAGATGATTCTAAAGGGTGCCGGTCTGGTTCCTGGTTCCTTGTAATGGAACCTGTGATTTTCGGTCCGGTTCCCAATTTCAAGGTGGGAAGCGGACCGAACTGGATCGGCTATATATATTTTTTAATTTTTTCAATTTCTTAAAGAAAACAAATAAACCCTAATTGGCATTCAATCTTTGCCTCTCTCATGGCCTTGCTCTTCAGTCCAGTTTTTCCCTCACGCCTCGCTCTTCACTCTTCAGTCTCTCGGCTATCGCTTAACTCTTAGATCTTGCTCGATAACCAGATCTTGCTCATCAACAGCCTAGTCTCCACTCTTCGGTCTCAGACCGCTGCTCCCTTTAACAAAGAGTCCTTCATCAAGAAACGCCCGATTTCTCTACCTGTTTCGAGCTTTCTATTTCGCTCTTCACTCTTCTGTCTCACAGCTCTCGCTCTTTCGGGAGCCTATTTTGTTCCCGCGGTCTCGCTCTTCACTCTTCTGTAATGATCTGTTCAAGTTTGTTTTGAAGCTTTGCCTTTTTAATTTGCTCTAGATTTTTCATTGTGTCCGGGTCTTGCATTTGTGTTTGTTATTATGCAAAACGACGAGCTCACTCGCGGTTCACATGTCCCTTCCTTAGTAGAGCCTCCAGTTGCAAGAATTCCTTATTCTTTTTGCACCCTTGAGGAAGAGGAGCACCAACACCTAAGTCATTGCTTGGTCATCTAATCATTGCTAAGTGACCGCTTCCATTGGATTGGATTAGACCGGTCGGTCCAATCCGATTTCTGATCTTAGAAATTGGGAACCGATTTAGTTGCCAATTATTGAGTGAGATCGAATCGGACTGAAAATCGATCACCCCTATTTATAGATTAAAAAAAAGTTCATACGATTCCGAAGATGGTGGGAATGAGCAGAAATCAAAAGTGTCTTGGGATTCGTGTCTTGGATTCATTGGTTAGGACGGACGAGTTGAATCAATCCCAGATAAGCAGTGCGGTCATGCTGGTAAGAGATTTGAGGAGAAAGTATAATGATTGGGCGGCGGATTCAACGACAAATTAAGCTGCAAAAGTGCACATGTTGGTTGGGACTATGTAGTGTGAACTTGGTGAATATGTTCAACTGACAATACAATTGCATTTGGAAGTTTGTGGCTTCTAGGACCATTCAAGGCTCTGGTTTGGTTGGATTTTTCTTCAAACACACTAGTGGTGCACGATTATCTAAATATTTGTTCAGCAAACATAACCTTGTCTTCACATAATAATTAACTTCCGAGTTGCTTAGAGTATACTAGTGTTGTTTGGATTTAGCACAACTATAGATAAATTCACCCAAAGTCTTTATCATATTAATTTGTTAGGCTGCGGTAATAGTCTTGTCGTGATTAGAGCACAGTTCGATTTTGTTTTCCTTTCTCTAAACTGTAACTCTGCTATCTCGTAGAGTTACGGTGCGTAGTAATTTGCGTGACTCGATACATATAACAGAGTCGCAGCACCTTAGAACGATGTGACGGGGCTCCAGAAAGGCAAATTGTAATTAGGGAGACGATGCGATTACGAGGTTTTCGTCTAAAGAATTGCCAAGGCTCTATCAACAAATAGAAATAGTTTCAAGAAAGGAGTGATGGCGGTACAGTTCCGTGAATCTGTGTAAGAAGCGGCCTGGGGGTCCCCAAGCCGCCACCATGCTGGTCAAAGATTTTCTTTCCCCATCTTGTGATCCTAAGGCACCAAAATTTCAATAGTTTGGTGTGAACCGTGGAATCTTCTGCTAATGCTCAGAAGGCGGTCCAAGTTTTTCGCTCGTTCCCACTTTTTTTTCTTTATTTGTGAACATAGGACTTGTGCGGTAAAGCTTGATCGCTTTTATCGAAAGAATTTAACATTTCCGATTGAGGAACGGACAGGAAATGACATTCCATTCTCCTTCGACATTTTTTAATTTTTCGGTATTGTTTCGTAGGTATCCTATGAATTTTCTGCCATATGGCACATATCTATCAATGTAAATTGATTACTCTGATTTATTGATGTCTTGTGAACGTTTGAGCTCCCAAATTTAAGCTCCAGAAGAAGATATTTCAGTGACGGAAGCAAATGGATTGGGGTGTCTCGGATTTGGAGAAAAGCAACTCGGAATTTCCCAAATTTTTTTTAAAAAAAATCCGGAATAATGACACCGTACGTATATGAACTTTTGTTTGTCTAACAATCTAGTATTTGAATCTAGATAATTATTGGCAATAGTGTTCAAGTTGGCAATTTTTAGTTTGCGATTTTAACGATGGCCTCACATGGATTCACATTTGAAAAGTTGAGGTATTTGATTGAAAAAAAAATTTAGTACTCATTTGTAAAATGAATAAAAATTTGGATACTTATGATGTCGTTACCCCAAAAATCGGCTCGGAGGCTCCAAAATTAGGCAAAATTACGACCCGCATTCATCAAATTTTGATGTACTTTGCATGACGTTGGAACTAGTGTTAGTTGTAGAGACTAGAGACACACATACCCAATTCCTGGGCAAAAACCTCAACGTGACTAAGCTTGAGCTCCTCGTGACAGCAAGGGCTTCTCTTCGATTCCAATCAATAATATCGAGTGAGGTTCGTGTAATAAGCTGTAATCAGATTCAATCCAGTGTGTCGTGTAAAGCGTCGAGGACTCAAAATATTCATCTTCTCCCAGCTAATGTCACCTCAATTCAACAATCTCGTCTTCTCTGCATTCTCCCACATTCACTTCCATGGTGAACTTTTTCTTCGTCGGCAACACCCTGCAGCAATTTCTTCTAGGAGCCTGCACAACATACGCACAAACCACATTGTATAGATTAGCAGTTGAGCCTCTGCAAATGCATGCAAGGTTGTATTTGCTGATTGTTACCTTGTCCCATAAATGCGGGTCGGGCTTCTTGTGGACCTCCACTCTGCGAATCCTCGACGGGTCCGCGATCTTCCACTTGCAATCCAGGCTTGGCACCCCGTGCTGGACATACTCACTGACCGTCGCGTTCGTCCTTGCATCGCGGGCCGCATCCGAGAGGAAGTAGATGAAGGGCTTCTCGCACGGGTTCTTGCTCAAGGGCCGGGTATTGAACGCGAATCCGGCGGGGTCGGCTCTCTTGTACCAATGGAGGAACGTTCTCGAGGGCGTCTCCATGTCCCTGGGCGGGTAGATGCCCCGGTGTATCTGGACCGCGTAGCCCCAGGAGACGGACACAGTCCAGCTCCGGGTCCGGTCGTAGCAAATGGACTGCTGCATTAGCGCAGCTGAGTCCAGCTTGAGCGGAGTCCGTAGCCTTTGCAGGGCTTGGAATTGGGTCAGTTTGGGGAAAATGGGCTCGACCACGTCTAAGTGGTGGAGCGAGATCAATGGCGTGATTGGGTGAGCAGCTAGGAGCCCAAACACGTTCCCGTACACGTCGAACTGAAATCGACCCATTGAACAAGAAAAGGAATCTTAGGCAAAGGAAGCTAAAAAATGACTAATTAAGATCAAAGTGCAGTAACCCTATTAAAATTGTAAACTTTCACAACGTGAAAACAAGAAAAAGGAGAATCGCGGGAGCTAAATATTCTCTTTTAGCTGTGCAGTTCTCCAAATGAGATCTATAAAGTTCAATTTTGGAATTGGAAGAAATCTCAGCTGCTGAATTTGGAGTCGACTGTTGTGAGATTCAACAACTCCATGTAGTGGAAGCAACTGATTAGACGAGGAAAATGGATGAACAATTCAAACCAATGAGTTTCTTGGTTAGGTATTGTTTGGTATTAGGAGAGAGGCTCCCTCTCAGGCTCAACCATCCATTGACACGCTATGCCCATAGCACAGCCCTCTCTTGGACCGAGTCATTATCAACAACAACGCCCCCTTCATCAATTTTCAACCTCAACCTCCATTAGAGGAGCCGCACCTGTTGGACTAGGTGTCTAGCTTTGGAGTGCATAAGAAAAGGCAAGACCTATGGACATTAGCCAAGTGGATGATGCATAAATGAGTCGCCGGAACTTATCCTAAATTTCCTCTCTTTTCATCTTGTCGTGCTGTCCCACTTTGGACGGCAATGAGTGCATGTGTTGATTAACCTCGTTGGAACCACTTCGCCGACCCCGTTCAATGCGTGGATTCGACATTTAATGAAACAAGAGAGTTTTCATGAGTGTGCGGAACTACCCCCATGACTGAACAGGTCCAACAACAACAAGAACGAACAGAGGTCGCCGTTTTGACGTATTGAAAAGGTAAAAACATATAGGCACTTTTCACCATGAATGACATTTTCGAGTTTCTTCCCGAATAAATGGTCGCATTTCTAACTATTGTTGCGTCGTGTATCATAACGAGATGGTATCTTCGGATCGTCCAAAGTCCAAAACATCCATCTAGGCCGGAAATTTAGGGTTTACAGTGTTTAAAAGCTCTCTATTAACAGTGGCATAGCTAGCCTATCGAATAAATTCCGCGTCAGGATTTCACGCAATCCCCCTAAACGAGGTCGTGTTTATCTTGACGACAGACTTGGCTAAATTCTCGGAAATTCTGAGAGAGAAGTTATAAAGACCATGACAAAAAGCCCTTCACTCCATTAAGGAAAAAGCAAGAAATAAAGGCAAAAGGAGCCTTTCATCGCAAATGGCGTGCTTTGTTGAAAAAGAGATCCTTAGCTAAAATGTCGGATGACACACTTATCTCACAAGCTCTTTATCTGATGTGACCGCATAAAATGAGAATGCGTTTCCCTGATTCTTCTGGTTAGATCCAATGAAATAGAGCTTTTCGCAATGCATCACTCTTTGCTTTGTTTGAAATGAGTTCAGCTTTCCAGATGTATTCCTCACACTAAAGAAATCAATTTGAAAAAAAATTAAAGACTGACCTGGTGAAAACCCGGTTCTCGGGTGAGAGGGACGCCGAGCTCGGCCATGCAAGCCTGAACCCGGTCGTCAGACCCGTAAAGGCCCGGGTACCGCCGGAGGCACCGGTCCTGCATCCGCTCGAGCGCTCTAGCCAGCGCGTAGCTGATGGCGAACCCGCCGCCGCCGTACGCCATGTTGTACGAGAAGTATATGTTCTGCAGGTGGCTCTCCGACCAGCTCCCGATGTAATAATACTGATTATGATCGTATTTGGACAGCACCCTCACCAGGTTCTCCGCCACGAAGACGGTGTCGTCGTCCCCCATCACGAGCCACCTCGCCTCTTCGCCGTCCAGCTGCTGGAAAGTCTCGGAGACTATCCTGGAGATGCGCACGGCGGAGTGGTCGCCCTTGGGGTTCTTGTACTTGAACCCCGACGTGTCGCTCGAGATCTTCACAGGAGGCAAGAGGGTCGAGTCGTCCTCTCCTTCCATGGCCTCGGGTCGGGGCAGCGGCTTGTCGAGCCACACAACGCCGCGCATTCGGTCCGGCTGCCACCAGATCTTGAGGTAGTCCTTGCGGTAGTGCCATAGTTTGGTCGAGGAGGCTATGCCGAAAACGATGTGGTGGAGGGCCGTTTCGGTCGGCGGTGGAGAGAGTGCTTCTGCTTGGTGGTGGTGGTGATTGAAATCATCAATATGAGAAGTATCACAGGAGGAGGAGTGAGGAGAGTAGAGGAATTGGAGGGAGTAGAGGAAGTAAGAGAGAGAGAAGAAGGCGAAGAAGAAGGCGATGAGCTTTGGGAGAGAGTAAGGGTGAGAGCTCTTCATGTTGTACTGCTGGCCCCATGAATCTGCGACCTTTGAGGTTTCTTTCATGGACTCATGTGGGTTTTGGCTTGGCTACAAGGAAATAATAGCAGCAGAACTCGACTCAGCACACGCATATATATATATATATATAAGATCCCTTCTCTCTCTCGCCCAACCATTCTGAATTTTTTCAATGCGCACCTGATTATGTCTTGACATTATTCCATCCGATGGACTTAAATTCAAATTGACTTGTTCCATCGAATTCATCTGCACCGGGCGGTCGCTAGCTTGTTTCTTCCTGATGTTGTTGTTTGCTTTTGATGTGTGGCTATATTCGGTGAGAAAATGATTTGGTGGGTTTTTTAAAGTGAACCAAAGCTGACCACTATGTATTGAGTTTACACTCATTCTCATTTGAGGAGTTTGTGAAAAACATCGTGCCTGCTTTCACCCTTTTAGCAAGCAATATCCGCCAAAAGTTGGAGTGTGTCTTCTGCTAGTTTATATTGTTGGTGACAAAGTTCATGGTTTCATCGAGCCCATCAATTTGGGGAAAAAAAACAAAACAAGATTACCTGAATAGATATCATGGATAAGGATTTTCTATTTCCTTTTTTTAATCGTGTCTTGATAAGTATCGCTTGCATAAAACGATGATCCGTGTTATTGATTTTTTTTAAAAGTAAATATGTGTGATTATCAACTTGAACTTGCCCAACAAGATACACACTAAACTCAACTTCACATATTAAGTGGCCAAAGTGTTTTATAAATTTTTATTATTTAAGGACGATGCAGTTGAAAGAATCGATCATAGTCCCCAGTCAAATGTTGGTTGAACTTACGTTTCGTGGAAGCCAACTGTCTAGCTCAATGTTTCTTGGTTCTTTAGTTGAACAAGGAGGACGGTCTTCATCTGATCTACTGGAATGAGTTGGTGATGAGCAAATTTCACCCATCATATCATATTTTTTCCATAGATAATCCAATTAAGACAGAATCTCCCATTTTTCTAATCATTGTTGATAAATACTTTATTACTTGGTTTTGTTCTATATTTGAGAACAGGTTGAATTGATCCTAAAGAATCCACTTCCATAGTTTAAAGTAATTAGGTAGAACAGAGAATGCCTTTGTGTGTGTCTTTGGACCCTATACTTAAATTACCTAGAATTCATCGGCTCAAGTAATTTGACATTTTATAGCATGAATTACATAAAAGAAAGTGTTGGTGGCGTAGATGTAGGGCACAAATGTACTAGGATTAAGTTAAAGTTAAGGCATAGGTAAAAAGAAGAAGGGTAGAATGCAAGAGTCAAGTCATATCAAGTTCAACCTCGATCTAGAGCTCATCTAGCCTAATTTGACTTGATATCTGTAATAGTTTATCTCGATCTGAGATATATTGGGGGTTAAGGTGTATCAAGTTCAACCTCGATCTAGAGCCCATCCAAACTAATTTCGACTTGACATGGGTAATGATAGCTCTTCGATCCGAGTAAGAGTAGGAGAAGCTCGATCTGCTTAGAGCTAATTCCAGCGAAGTTCATTTCCTATGCTCGCATTTCGATTTCCTCTACTTTCGATATACTTGTCCTTTAATTTCTTGTAGTTTCAAGCGCTGCTCTTCCAACTGCTTTAATTTCAAGACTTGTTTCTGTAATTTTCCTTTAATTCCGAGCACTTTACTCTGAGGAGCTGACGGCCTTTCTGTCACTCGAATCCATTTCCATTCCATATGCAAAACTTGCCTTTTGGAATTATGATCACTTTGCGATCGAGCACTAACCAGAGAACGAGCCTCTCATGGTTTGCCTTCCCAATCGCCTGTTTGTCACATTAGCCAAGGTCGATTTGGACCCAATTCGTGCATGATCTTTTTTTCTTGCATGGTCAACAACCTTGTCAAAGGAATGGACTCACGCAGAGATGATGGCAAAAGCAAGAAAACAAAGTTGCATCGTATCTTTGTAGATTTCACAATTCTTAAGAGCATTGTCCCCAACCCATGTCAACTCCTTCCTTTATCCCCTTGGAACTAACAAAAACATGTATACAAGGAAGGGTGAATACAACAAAACTGGTCCGAGGTCGTTCTTTAATCTCTGAGACCAAAGCTTAAAGCACAAATTCTAACGAGAAAGAGACAATTCGCACAGGGACAGAAACTTCACATACAGAGACCCAAAAAAAGGCCGACGCAGACTCAAATCTGGGCTGACCATTGCTCGTCCTTTCGATTCAACGCTCGGGCCCTTCGGCCCGGTATGAATGGCAGGATATGTTGTAAAAGCTCGCTGCTTGATTGTGGAATCTTTGATTGATTGATGATGGACGATGACATACTTCTGAATAGACATAAATAGAGAATGTTGATATCGTTCTGGTACCGTCTGCAGTGCTTTAATCATGCCCATGTGTTAAGTATTTACTCTAGTGATATCACTAAATGGTGATGCTCCATGCTCTACTACCAATACTGTGCTCTACTTTCCTATTTCTAAGATGGAACTGCCTTTTCGCACGATGATTTTTGCCGATCTGATCTGACTGAGCCAATTTGCCTCTATGACGCGACTCCCGAATTAGATGCGATTTCGCAAAGTTGGGAAAGGGATCCATGTGTATTGAAGAGACTGAACTAGAAGTGATGGGTCTGTAAGGGGCCATATCATTATCTAGAATTAGAACCATACGACATAACAAATCTGTAAGTAGCTCACTGATTCCTCGTTCTCGACTTCTTCAGTCCAACTTTGCTTCTGGTTCCTAAATTCACCAGTAGCATCACATAAGTATGCCAGTGGATGATAGGGGTTTGTATCTTTTTCGGCGTGAGAGGGGTTGGTGACGAAAAAGCCAATAGCATCGTCCAGCACCTACTCCGCTAATGGGTCGGCAATCGACTAGTGGTATTTGCTCCATAAGAATGTCTCTCCACCCACAGAGAAGAGAAACATTCCTCTCGAAAAGACTCGTTAATATGCATGTGAAGTGCACCTTACGTGTAAGACAAAAGTCCACTCCAAGGCAAGATTTCCCAACATTGTAAAGAGTGCTCGCACAATCTAACGAGGGAGGTCATCGAGTTGAGAGGAAACAAAGGCTATATGGACCTCAAAAAATGACCGATGCGACCCCACATGAACCCCCACCGGGTGAAGTCGGCACGAGTAGCGGCCAGACATAGTACGCGTTCCTCGCATTCGCATGCATATCCATCGTATTGTGACGTCTTTCAAAGGACCCATCCTAGAGCAAACGAGGGTATGCACCAATCGTGATGGTTTGGCCAATGGTCCTAGCTCGACGAGGATCGTGCGGTGCGAAACTACTTTTGTTGAGATCGTCAAGAGGGAGTCCAAATCCAAGCTCATCAACATATTTAGTTGAACCCACATTCACTCATCAAAAGTATATTCACGTGAGAGTTCAGTGTTAGGGAGTAGTATTGTTCTGCATCAGGATATCTCAAACTTGAATTTCCAAGAACGCCCAGAAACCGGGTTGGTTACCAAATTCATTCCTTTCCCGTTTGGGAAGATCACCAAAAGGGAGCCCAGGTCCGAGCACGGACTCACTTCGGATCCACCTTCACTTCAAAGTTTAATTATGATATATTAACTATTATATACCACATCAGTTCTTCGATATGGAATATCTCTAACACAACTCTCACATGTATCTCAATGGAGAAGACATTCACCTTCATTTGCATCGAAATAGAAAGAATAACAGGAAGATAAAGGAATCGGAACATCCGAGAAATACTCTAATCCAATTGGTGGTTGCCTGAGCCTTGCTTTATCGGGCAAGGGAGGGCTAGAGAACGGGGGCAGAAGAATGGACCCCTCAAGGGGGCAATCATAGAGGGAGCATCGCCCGTGAAGAAGTGGGGGTCGGCGTCAGTGGGACTGCAATTGGGGGGAGCTCAAAAGCGAGGCTTCAGCGAGGCTTCACGAGATCGGTTTCCAAAAAATAATTCTGAAAGTGAACCTTAGCTAGCGGGACCCTCCTCACTGTCTCTCCCAACACCAGATAGTCCAAATGCAAAATCGCCCGAGCCCGTGTCACATGCTCACAGTTCGATTCTCCATTGCTCGACAGATGAATATTTTAGAGCCATCGTGCTTGTTCACTGGATCATCTGATGATGCTTGGATATTGTATCTTATTTCCATCGACCCTTTACACGGCCTAACATCCGGAATGAGGCCCGTACTTGCCCCGCTTTGCATAGCCATGAATATAACTATTGTGCATAGAGCTAATTTATTACTTAGGTTAGCTAAATCATGTACTCTAAAGCGAAAAGCCGGTTTAAAGAGATTCTTGCGTCATGGTGATTTCAAGCTAGCACGAGATGACGAAGGGAATGGTGATCACGTGACCAATCTGAGGCGGTGGATGTGACTGTGACGAAGACAAAGACAAGGCCGAGGAGAAGGAATAGCCATAGAGCAGGCTCGTACCTGCTTTTCCCGATGTGTAACATGTCATCAGCCACCAATTACAGTTGCTGCTCGATTAATTACCAATATTTTCTCCGCTTTTCTATCAATCATCCCTTCTTTCTTTCAAATTTTTCTCAGGTCACGGAAAGCAAATGTGTTGTTTTTTCAAAATGTGGCACGACCATGACAAGCGTTCCTTCGCTTCAAAGAGGCAAACAACAACAGTTGAAAAACGAAAAGAAAAACAGAGCATAACCCAACAAACCCACTTCCCTTTCCTGCCTATAAATACTCCCCATCTGTCACTCCCACTCTGCACAAAACACTCCAAACTGCAAACTGCCCCGCCTGCGACAACCATCGAACTCGCCCGTGAGTTCCCCCTTACCCTCATCGTCACTTCTGTCTCTTCTTCTTCGTTTTTTCTTCTTCCCACGTTCCGCACCTTTCAAAGAAGTAAAACATTTTTACTTTCCTTAATGTCTGCGCCATCTTGGGTTCTGACTTTGCAGAGGATGATGAAGATAACGTCGCTTCTCGCGGTGGCGTTCGTGTTGTTTTCGGCTTATGGAGGGGCGGAGGGAAGGAAGGTGAGGAGGCTGGACGCGCTGGAGTACCCGGCGATGAGCTGCCGAGCGCACAGCGCGTCGCTGACCGATTTCGGGGCCGTCGGCGACGGCCAGACGTCGAACACCAAGGCCTTCAAGGCCGCCGTCGATCAGCTGAGCCGGTTCGCGCCCGACGGCGGCGTGCAGCTGTACGTCCCGGCGGGGAAGTGGCTGACGGGGAGCTTCAGCCTCGTCAGCCACTTCACGCTCTACCTCCACCGCGACGCCGTTCTCCTTGCTTCCCAGGTTGGTTATTCTTATTCATCTATAAAAATAATTAAGAGTAACAATTTCCTTTTTGTTTTTCCTTCGCTCGCTTGGAGTGCTTTCTAAGTTTTTTTCTTATTTTATTTACGTAAAAATCAAATTTGTTGGATTTATTGGTTTTCTTTAACAATATTGTTTTTTTTTTGGGCCAAAAAAAGTTTATTTATCTATCTATATATATATTTTTATTTATTTATTTTGCTTGGGTGGCCGTGTGTTAGTCGTCCCATCTTTTTAGGCCGATTTTGCTCAAAAACTGTTGGTCGTTTCCAAAGGATCTGGACAGGTCATTAAAACGGATTCGTGTCAAAAAATTGAGTGAACCATACTTAAAAATTCAACTGAGGCCTGCTCGGTCCGGCTTAGCTCGGTTCGATTTCGACACCATCTGCGACGGCGAGTGAGCAATGATCCATGTACGATTAGTCCACGACCTTGGAAGAGCCTGAACAGCCTCGACTTCGGTAGAGGTGAGTTCGTGTTGGAGAGTCCACTGGGGTGAACTTTAGAGGTGTGCCGTTAAGACCCGTGATCCGGTAATCGATTAGGGTGCACGAACTATTCATATTTGCTCGGTGAACTAGTCGAGCGTGTCGAGAGTCTCGAGTTCTCGGGCTACGTTAACAAGTGAAAAACTAGCTGAACTAGAGCTTAATCTGTGCATGTTCTAACTATAAAGTGTGTTGTGCCGTGGGGTGTGTATAGGACATGACGGAGTGGCCTGTGCTCACACCATTGCCATCCTATGGCAGAGGAAGGGATGCAGCTGCCGGGAGGTATCAAAGCCTCATCTTCGGCACCAATCTCACTGATGTTATCGTCACCGGTAAATCCCGCTTGCTTAATTTCTCTTTTAACTTCCTCATTTTCGCGCTCCGATTCGCTTTGTACAATCTCCAGATTTGCTCATCGCGGTCTCTTTGTGCCAGGGGACAATGGGACTATCGATGGTCAAGGCGCTTTCTGGTGGCAGAAGTTCCACGGCGGCAAGCTGAAATACACCCGCCCCTACCTGATCGAGTTCATGTTCACCGATACCATCCAGATCTCAAACCTGACCCTCCTCAATTCCCCATCCTGGAATGTTCACCCTGTCTATAGCAGGTACAATCATACCAGTTTTTTGCAATCTTTGGCCTTCTAGCATCGAAATTCTTGTCTACATATTCATTTCTCTAGCCATTACGGTTTATAACAAACTCCCCAAGGACTATCATCTATCTTCTTAATCCAACCAGTTGACCAAATCACTAATTAAATTTGGATGAACGAAAGTGACAAACTAACCAATACATGGTTATTGCAGTAACATTCTTGTGCAAGGCATCACCATTCTTGCCCCGGTCAAGTCCCCGAACACCGACGGGATCAATCCAGGTTTGTCCATTCTTTTTCCTGGACCAGCAGCAAATTTTTTTTCCGTCCTTGGCTAGTCAGATTACTGTGAGTTCAATTTGTAAGCCTTCAAATTCAAACTTTAATGACAAACTAGCAGTTTCTAAATGATGCTCCTGCTTATGCAAGCCCAGATTCATGCACAAATGTGAGGATTGAAGACTGCTACATAGTCTCAGGAGATGATTGTGTGGCTGTCAAGAGCGGATGGGACGAATATGGCATTGCTTTCGGAATGCCGACGCAGCAACTCGTGATCCGACGGCTCACGTGCATTTCTCCCTACAGTGCCACCATCGCCCTAGGCAGCGAAATGTCCGGAGGAATCCGAGACGTCAGAGCCGAAGACATTGTCGCCATCAACACCGAATCGGGCATAAGGATCAAGACCGCCATAGGAAGAGGAGCCTATGTCAAGGACATCTATGTGAAAAGGATGACTATGCACACCATGAAATGGGCTTTCAAAATGGATGGCGATTACAAATCGCATCCCGACACTCATTACGATCCGAAAGCGCTCCCGGTGATCCAGAACATCAACTATAGGGACATGGTGGCCGAAAATGTTAGCGTTGCTGCTAGATTCGATGGAATCCCGGGGGATACATTCACCGGAATTTGCATCGCAAATGTGACGCTTGGCATGACCCCCAAGCACAAGAAGTACCCATGGACTTGCACAGACGTCCAAGGGATGACGAGTGGGGTCACACCGTCCCCGTGCGACTCGTTGCCAGACCAGGGGCCGGAGAAAATTTCTGCTTGCGATTTTCCCGCCGATAGTCTGCCTATCGATGAAGTAAAGCTGAAGCAATGTAGTTACAGGATCAATTACTTCTGAGTTCTCACAAACTCATGTAAACCAATATCTACTTTTCTAATAGAAATGCATCACTCTGAATTTCCTCCCTTTGTTTTTTGTATCTGTTACAACCAAGTGAGACTTATAGAAAGTCAGTTTCATGCACAACAGTGGCTATAAAGAAACTAGCTCAATAAGCACTCTAGACCATTTTTTTCCCTTTCTTTTGCCAATAAAACATGTGAACATGAGAGAGAGAGAGAGAGAGTGACATTTTCAAACCATACTGACTCGCAAATTAACTGAAGAGTAATACTTAAGTATACTAAAAACTTGCAAATGAGAATTTAAGCAAATGGGTGATGTTCAATGATCAGTCAGAATCTGTCACATCACTAAACATGCTAATTTTGTAAACTAATCCTAAAATGCATAGCATGATCTCTAATTGAAATGAAATTGCATTTGAATTTTATGTCCTCGACGAGGAAGAAATTGAATGGTCAGAATCATTTTCAGCAGGGCAGGGAGGTCCTATCTGCTGGGTTTTCTGCATTGGACAACTGACCTTTTTTTGTTGAAAGGGTTCAATGCGTCATGAAATTAGACATGGGCTATGAAAGGATTGTGGAGCCACTTCATCCTTGTTTTTTCCTCGCAACACATTTAATACTTATGAAGTTGTTCTTGACTAAAGTGTACCCCTCAAGTTAAATTTCAGCTCAAAAGTTGGTGAACTCACATGGGAGTTACAAAGGAAAGAGGATATACTCTGCACTTTATTTTCATCCTCCGGTTATCACGGCGTCGATGACTCTCCTTTGTGAAAAAGAAGAGTCTCTTCAACTGTTATTGATAAGCTTTGAAAGCTTCATATTTGTCTTTTCAAGTGCATGAACTAGTCTCGAGTGTTTAGCGAGCTAATCAGCTTTATGTCGAGTTAATCATCCACGACGAAGGATAACCCAAAAAACTTGGCCCGAAAGAACCTTGAAATCAGGTAAGGAAAGTATTATACGACCTGTTTCTGAGGGTACAAATCACCAAAACCTGCAATTTCGACCTGTTTTCTAGGAGCCCCAAGGCAAGGACCAAGTTTAGCCCAATAATTGTGCAAGAAACAGTAGAAGGCATTGTAGCAGCTTCGAGACGGGGAATCCTAAGAGAAAGTGTAGCGGGTGATGATGGGTCAAACAAAACTAACTGCTCTAGCAGAATTATCGCCAGCAATCTCAGTCCAGCCAGTGAGTTCATCACTTAGGTGATACCTTATAGATTATGATTTCAAAAGCAATAGACATTGTAAGAACCTTGAATAAACATCAAGATTGTCAAGAATTGAAAAGGGGTTGCATCTTGATTGCCGTCAATCGTGCAGGTGGCTAACTTTTGCTGGAGGGGAGCTGCGCCGGTAGACTAGGTGGAGGCTTTTTGACAGTGACATAATTTGTCGATAGGTCTTGTTACGGTTTTCTTAATTATATCAATAAAAAGCTGTCTTGATTTTCATTTCAATTATTGTACATCGTATTATATGAACGGTACATAAAAAATTACAATCTTTCCTTAAATAGGTATTTTCGGTATTTTAAGACACTCGTTAAGATAAATGAGGTTCCTTTTAACTTCTTAAACATAAAAGAATTTGCTGATCTATGCCGTCTAAGTAACCTAACCCATATTTCACAGTGCCATGTGACCAAAATCTGTTACAGCATCAAGCATCCCACCAACCTGAAGTAATAGGAATTCACCGAGTCCTCGGCACATTAGTGCCAAAAAGTTTTACCAACACTTTCAACTCTTAATCAGTGGCCTAAATATGGAACTTAGCAATAAGCACCAAGCTCAAGCATGGCTTGTTGTGATTGGGACTAAAGCAATTAGGTGACCAGTGATTAAAAGGGCGCTTGTCTGGTTCTTATCTTAAAGCCCTTGCATCAATTTGAATGGTCTTTCGTCAATATATAAGAATACCTTAATATAGAAAATACAAAAATAAATAAATCAAGATGACTTTAAATGTTAATACTTTATATGTCTTTAAAGATTCTATCTCTTTCGTGCATGAAACTCACCTTTCTAACATTAATTAAAGTGAATATAAAAAGGAAGAAAATCAAAAAGACCAAATTAAAATTAGACAATCACTAACTCTTCCTCGGATATATACCTTACTTTTGAGTGGGGTTATACCAACGAAAGTTACCATTGAAATGATTTGATTCTTGGACGAAACTCCAACTTTAAAGAAGGGCATATCTTTATCACACTACTTAATGCAACATTTTAGCATGATTTACTCCAAATTTCAAGGTGTCCGCAAGAAAAACCTCCGAAAATTAAGGTGCTTCTTGACTTCCAGGTCCTTATGTTCCCCCAACAGCGCCTGAGAAATACAAAAAAAAGCGTCAAATTGCTTCGAACACAGTGAAACTACTTTTGATAAAATGATTTTGGAAACAGGAAAGAAAACAGAGAGACCCCCAGGAAGTAACGAAAAGCTTATAAATGAGCTTGTAATTAGGCCCTATCAGTATTCTCTCGTTTTTTCTCTGCAGAAAACCTCTCCTGTTGACACTTTCCCCAGACATGGAGCTCAAAGCAAAGCGTCCAGTGAAAACTCAGGTACAAGAAAAACCGCAAATCCTCTTCTAACTCCATTAATATACCTTCAATCTTTGCTTTCTTCTGCACTCCAGTCTCTTCAAGTTCATCATGTTCTTAAAAAATGTTTCTTCACACTGGGTTCACTAACCCAACCCCCCAAAAAAGAAATAATTATCAAAGAATGAGAGAAAGGTTTCATTTTCTTGGTTTTCTTCAGCCACAGGTGATTAACAGAGTAGCAGTTTGGGCATTCATGGTGGCACTCGTGGTGATTTTGGGTGGAGCCGAGGGCAGGATCGTGAAGAGCTTCAGCACCTTCGAGTACAGCGCGATGAGCTGCAGGGCTCACAGTGCCTCGGTGACGGAGTTCGGGGCGGTCGGCGACGGGAAGACGCTGAACACCAGGGCGTTCGCGGCGGCGATCGCCCATCTCAGCCGGTACTCGGCCGTGGGCGGTGGCCTGCTCTACGTCCCCGCCGGGAGGTGGTTGACGGGGACTTTCAACTTGACCAGCCACTTCACTCTCTACTTGCATAAGCAGGCTGTTCTTCTTGCTTCCCAGGTTTCTCTCTCTCTCTCTCTCTCTTTCTTTCTTTTTTAGTACAGTTTAGTATGTACATCTTCGTTCCCACAAAACCCAAGGAGATGGTTTTGTTTGCTGGCGGACTGTCTTTTTTTTGTTTTGTCGGTATCATATTTCATGTTGTTTGATGTAATCGAGAGGAACAAGACAGTCATAGAACAGAACAGCATCCGAAGAAAATGGCATCTTGCCTCTCATTTTCGGCTAAACGAAGAAAAAAAAAGTGATTTGTTTGGAGTGGTGCAGTACTTTTGGATGGCATGCGTAGGGCAGTGATGATTAGCTCCGATATATGTGATCATGTTTCTTGAAAGCAAAAAGAGGACTGTGTCCGGAGGTTTTCTTTGATATACATTTCGTCAAATGCTTGAAGGACATAAGAGATTGGCCACTGTCCGATCCATTGCCGTCGTACGGCCATGGGAGGGAAGCGCCGGGAGGGAGGTACATGAGCTTCATATTCGGGACCAACCTCACCGACGTGATCATCACCGGTAGCTTCAAAAACCAATCTTTAAATCATCACTTGAACTCCTACGCTCGGGTTGCACAAGATAGGTTTGGAGGTTGCACTTTGACCCGACCCGTTTGCGCATTTTCGGTCTCGTGCAGGGGACAATGGAAAGATCGATGGTCAGGGTGGCGTTTGGTGGACGAAGTTCCACAAGGGCAGCTTGAAGTACACCCGCCCTCACCTGATCGAGATCATGCACTCGCGCTCTATTCAGATCTCTAATTTGACTCTGCTCAACTCACCATTTTGGACTGTTCATCCTGTTTACAGCAGGTTATTTCCTCATTCCTTGTTGTTAACACCAACGATTATGGTCCTCTAGGCCTTCTTTTTTTTTGGGGGGGGGTTCATTTGCTGTTCTTATTTTCAAGAAAACGTTGGTGATGGAGCTTGTTTTCGTTTTAATTTCGAGTCGCAGTGACATTGTCATTCAAGGGGTAACGATCCTTGCTCCAATCAAATCTCCCAACACCGATGGGATTGACCCAGGTGATGTTTCTCTCTCTGCTAGAACTTCAAGCCATTAAATTCATTAGGATAAGAGTTGCAAACTCAAATTAATTGTCGGACCCATGTGTCCCATACCATGGTTTGAGGTCATTACTGGTGTTAGCATACCGTCAAAAGTCGGTACCTGCTCTGTTTCGGGAGACAGCTAATAAGTTTTCCTATTGTTGGTTGGTCCATGTTCATCTACTTGCTCGCTAATGTTTTTTGTCAAGAACCAATTTGAATGGTTTTTAATGGTGTGTTCAGATTCCTGCACTAATACTAAAATTGAAGACGTCCACATCGTCTCTGGAGATGATTGCGTGGCCGTGAAGAGCGGTTGGGATGAGTATGGCATCTCTTACGGAATGCCGACCAGACAGCTTGTGATCCGACGGCTCACATGCATTTCCCCGTACAGTGCGATGATCGCTCTCGGAAGTGAGATGTCCGGCGGAATCGAAGACGTCCGAGCCGAAGACATCACGGCCATCAACACGGAGTCCGGGATCAGGATCAAGACTGCTTTGGGCAGGGGAGGATATGTGAAGGATGTTTATGCGAAGGGAATGAAAATGCACACCATGAAGTGGGCCTTTTGGATGGACGGCAATTATGGTTCGCACCCGGATAACCACTACAACCCAAAGGCCCGACCCATGGTCACCGGGATCAATTACCGGGATATTGTGGCCGAGAACGTGACTATGGCTGCTCAGTTTAAGGGGATCCTGGGGGACCCGTTCACCGGAATTTGCATATCTAATGCGACCATCACGATGGCCCCTAAGTCCAAAGAGGAGCCGTGGACATGCAGCAACATTCATGGGATCACAAGTGGGGTCACACCTCAACCTTGTGGCATGTTACCGGAGGCAACCACGACGTGCCATTTTCCGGAGACGAGTCTCCCAATCGATGGAGTGAAGTTCAAAAAGTGCATTTATAGGGGGAACCATGCATGATTTTCTTGTGCAGCGAACCGGAGGGCTACTCGGTGTAAATTGCAAAGCCCAGATCGCTGAATGCCAAAATGCATTTTCTATGTTTGAATGAGAACCTGAGAAAATGGTTATGAACTATGATCGGCTCTTTGAGGCATGAACGTGTGTGTAATCGGTTAAGTTCAGTTTGTAGATGCGTGTTCACTTTGAACATGCTCAAGAAGGTGCTAGTCAGTAGTTTCTCTTTTTAAAGTGAATGAGAATATCTGCGACTCATGATTATGCATACGAAAGAGGGAATCCTATGTGTTGCCCCTCATTTTAAGAGGGATCGGATCTTTACAAACTACAATCAAGATTTTAGAGGGCCCAACAGGGCCAACCTCTTCTGTAAATTTAAATACAGAGGAAACCTATGAATTGCCCCTACGACTTTGCATCGCATCAGACAACTCAACAATTGCATCATTCTGCTAAACCTAAGCAGACTACAGAAAACCAAACAGAGTTTCTTGGACGTTTAGGAGCAGAAATAGAGAAAAAAGTACCAGGCAAGCAAAGTTGTGGCTTCAAACCGTGAGAATATGCATTAGCACAACGAACAACGGGGAGTTTCTTGGTGTTACAGCTCTATACAGCCAAAAGAAGCCTCAAGAGTGAAGACCTTTTCTCATTGGCTCCATTGAACCAGTTGAACATTACAAGCATACATAGCCGTCCAATAAAAGCTCAAAGAACTTTTGTCCAGCTATCTAGAAAACTTCAAACCTAAATTCGCTATCTACAGCACGCTTGTTTCATTTTTGAATGAAACATCCAACCAGTTATGCGTAGAACATTACTAAACAGAGCGACAACCTGTCGCAAATCCCTAATGCATAGGATCCAGATTGAACCTTACAGACTCCCTCCAGATGAGCTCCTTAATGTTTTCTTCGGTAAATGAAGGTTGCTCGAAGTCATAAATGAAGGGAGTCGGGCAAACTGGTTCCTCATTTATATCATGTAGAGGGGCCAAATATGGGTGGCACAGAGCGCCCTCAACTGCAAATGAATATACACAGACATTATTAAGATATGCGAGCATTTCAATAGAAAGCAAACAATAAACATTACTTTCTGTATAAGGAGTTTCAGAACTTCAAGCTAAAAGTTCATTTAACCCATGATTAATGTATTCTTATTTTTTAATCTACAGGCACGCACTTACTATATTATCTATTTTGATAAGTTTAGGACATTAAGTCCTGCCATTATAATGTGCCCCTTTCTATTTTCAAAAATTTCTGACCTTTCTACCCATAACAATGAAACACATATAGCCTAATTGTGCAACAAACCGGATGCAAAAGATATCAGCATCCGATGTACCTGTTATTCGCCTGATGGGATCAAAGACGAGCATCCTTTCCAGGAGATCAGCAGCACCTGGAGACATACTCTGAAATCTACGAGAAAATTGCTGCCTTGGGTACTGTGGAAGCTGTCTTACATATCTTCGTGCATTATCACTTCTTAAAAACCCAAGGCTGGAGTCATCAGGAGATCCTATAAGCTTTTCACATGCATGACTTGTCAAATTCTAAGCTTATCTTATGTTCAATGATTAAGGATGATGTTCTACACATCCTCCCAGTATGCAAAACTCTTGTCAATGATGCCGTCAAAAGGAAATTAGACATTATGTTCGTATGCAACTTCAATACTAAACAAAGCAAACCATGCAATTGTGCTCCTCTGCACACATTCTCGATAGTACGAACAGAATGAATACTTCCTCTAATTATGAACTCAACAGCTGCCTTGTCAATCATTAAGAACAAGTGGAGAAAATTTAAGATTATAAGCCCTAAAATAGGAGCAACGCCAACATCTTTGAGAGAAGATCTGTATTAATCCTTCTCATTCAAATCAATAAGCCCAAGCTCAGTAGTTAAGCATTATTGGTTTTTGGTGGAATGATCAATCCAGGAACTCGAATTCTACATGAATCATCAACGTATATGAGAATATCTCAGCCTTATAGCTTAGAATCATACTGTCTCTCTATAATGCATTCGAAGTTTGCAAATAGCAGATTCAATTTCTAAACAATAAACTAGTATCAGATTTAAGTAGATTTGCATGAACGAGACTTAGTTGCTGAACTCACTGATCAATTATTACTGGGGATAAGAATCGAGTTAGCAACCTTTCCAACTCTTCACCTATCAGAAACTCGGTAAACTATGCATATTGAGCATCTTTAGAGGAAAAGCATCATCAAGGCATTTCATTTCCTAGATAACAGTTGTGTTTGCTATGAGAATGAGAGGATACTGCGTTCTGATTTTGAAACACTCCTACGATTATGCATAATAAGACACTTTCCAATTGTTAGAGAAGCCAACAAGGAGATGTTCATTGTTCACAGCATGATAAACAGCAACGGTTCCCTTCTTAAACACCATGAAAGCAAGTTCCAGCGAGCATACCTCTGTAATAAGTCTCAGCTGATGGACATAGTCTTTGCCTGGGAAAAGGGGCTGCCTAGTCATAATTTCACCAAGTATGCAACCCACAGACCAAATATCAATGGCAGCAGTGTACTCTGAACAATTAAGGAGCAGTTCTGGTGCGCGATACCAGCGAGTAACAACATACTCAGTCATAAAATCCGTTTCAGATGTGGTCCTAGCTAGCCCAAAGTCCCCAATTTTAAGGTCACAATTCGCATTCAGAAATAAGTTGCTCGGCTTCAGATCGCGATGCAGAACATTTGCTGAATGCACATATTTGAGACCTCGAAGCAACTGATACAAGAAGTACTGCACAACCATAGATGAGTTATACTCTAGAATTTCTCAAAGAAAACCGTGGTTATTAAGAGCAAAGGGACACTGACTCTACAACCTCAATGAGGTCCACACCCTAAATAAATCAAGGCTACATTTGAATTCAACAAGAAAACCAAGTGCATTAATTCTATGAGGGGACTAAATATGCCAGAAAGCAAGTGATAAAAAGAATTTTCAGAACATAGGGACCCTTCGTGTTTCTTACATAGGAAGGAGGAAAAGAAACAATTGAAAGCACCAAATTAATCACGGAATGACTTATCTATCTCCTATTTTTCCAGCAAACCAACACATGCTGAACTCTAGTACTCCTGGTTGAAGTCTCCAAAATTTGCTTCTAAGTAAATAACTCCACAAAAGGAAAATGATCGCAATCTCATAAAAAAAGACCCCGTAGAAAAGGAAAAGAAAGTTCTAACCCTGCAGTGATCGTCAGTCAATGGCTGATTGGAACGGATGATTTGATGAAGGTCAGTGTCCATCAATTCATACACAATGTATACATCATTAAAGTTCTCCCTACTTGGTGGACGTATTATGTCTTTAAGCCCAATAACCTGTGGAAAGAGAATCACAAGTTAAAAACTACTCCCAAGTTATTTTCCAATGGAGAAGGTCCCAGAGAATGGATTAGCAGACAATAATATAATTTCACTCAGAGAACGTATGCCATGTAAGTATAAAGCACATCCTTGATAACCTTCAACATAGCAAAATACTGCAAACTTGCCAGCGATAAAACTAATATTTAAGCTGCTGCCAAGTTCTCTAACCTTATACCATTACTATCATTCAACAATAAGGCTCCATATTTCCTTCCACATTAAAAAAAAAAAAGCTTTAAAATAGCATAACAATCTAGTTTAGCCATTGTTACAATTAATGACTAGCAAGATTGACATAATCCCTGAAACCAAAAGTCAGATACCACTCAACATACATAGACAAATATGAGCAAGATGTGCAGACTTCCTCAAAGTGCGTAATCTATAAAAGCAGACGATCATATGACTAAGTTGCCAAAACAAGATTCTACCATCAGTAACGACAATATCAAAAACTTTCTAGTGATGATCTTCCCCGGAATTAGACTTGTAATAACAATCCACCAGCTGTGACACATAATTTCCTTTCCTTTTTTAATTCTGGAAAGGGGGGGCACCATACTTCAGATGATTAAACTAATTGAAATACACCTCCGCGGTCACAAGTGACACGGTTCCATCCTATTTATATTCTCTGCATACTGAGGAACCGGATCATAAGATCGATGAGAGCAGAGATCAGAATGAATCTTATACTTACATTCTCATGATCCATATGACATAAAAGCTTAATTTCTCGTAAAGTCCTCTTGGCATCTATTCTGTTGTCGAATGCATTGCCAATCTTCTTGATGGCAATCTCCTCATTTGTCTCCGAATTCATGGCAGCGCTGGTCAAAGTGACATAAAGACATTCACATATCTTGCGTAACTGATGAATTTTAAAGTCAATACACAGGAATCGAAACGAAACAATAGTTCCGTTCATCAGCAAATAAGCCAATTCTTCCACAAATCACATCTTGCATCTCAATTTTAACTTTTTCTTTTCCTTTAGTGGCGATCCGAGCTACAACTTTGCAGAACAGATGGAATTTCTTTTAGCAGGAGAAACTTCTTAATAGAACAAAATTAGCAGAGCTAGGATAATTTACAATACGCGCCGAAATGAAAAGTTCAAGTCAATGGAGATCATTCATTTCTTGTCGTACACAAAAAAATTCTCGCTACTTTCCAAGTAATCCACGAGATCAACTTCCAAACCAGATTAGTCAAAACAACTGCTCGAAAATTATCCATGCCAGTCGTTGCTCGAAGTTCCAGCGATTCGCACGATCAACTCAGAGAATCCAAAAACCAAACACAGCTTCAGGAAGCAAGACAATCAATTCAAAGCCGATAAATCAAAGCTGCGAGACCAGTCCATCAATCGAGCTCGGGAAGAGAGGAGCAGCTCACCAGACGAGCCCGTAAGCGCCGCGGCCGATGGGGCGGATCGGGGGGACGTACTTCCGCGAGACCTCGAAGAGGTTCCCGTACACGTTGTACTGCACGTAGCGCCCGCCGTAGGTGGGGATCCCGCCGACGCCGTGCTCCGCCGAAGCAGCTCCCGAGCTCGACGACTCCATCGGAAGGAAGGGGGGGCCCCGGGCTCTCGGCCGACCCGACCCGAATCAGCCCGGGTTCCGGCGGGGGGTGCGGGGGGCGGTTTGGATCTTCTTCCTTCCGGGAGTAGGTGGTGGAGCTTCGAAACGGAAGGCGAGCGAGCTGAAGAGGAAGACGGAAGGTAGCGTAAATTCAGGGCGGGGGGAAGACGAGAGTCCGTGTCGGTAGGTGTAAAAAGTGTATACGTTTTGACATTTCTTCGTCTTTTTTTTCTCTTTATTTTTTTTTTAGTTTTTTTTATTTTTTTGGGGGTTTCTTTCTTCGATCCAATTTTCGCTAAACTATTCGAATTTACGCGATTGAGTGGGGAAAGGGAGGAGCACGTGTCTGACCTTTTGAACCGGAAAAAGCGTGGTTCACTTCACACCCCGTGACCCAAAATTGACTTCCCCTTTCTTTATCGTTGGTTTTTTACTTTGATTTCTGGGCGTAAATGTGGGTGTCTTCTTTAATTATACATCATATAAGCGGTAGATCTAACTCAAAAAAAAAAAAAAGAAATTAGAAAATGCAAGTCATTGGTTAATAGGCCGGGATGTTCGGGTCGTGTCGGAACACATCCTTAGAAATCTTTCAAAATGACGGAGTTTGTATCCCGACCTCTCATGACTTTGTTGAATGATCCAGGTCGTTGTTTTCATGTTAAGTATTCGGTTTTGCTTTGGTTTTCTGATTGCTAGATCACATCGAGCACACGTCCCCTCGTTTGCTCATTTGCTAGGCTGTTTTGAAAGTCAACGACGCATGATGGATGCAATAATGTCCCAATCAGTAGATGAGCCCCGAGGAGTAGATAAGTAGGTAGGGGGACGAACCATTCAATTGGGGCGGACAATTGGATGGCCAAAGGCTTTTCCTCGGTAGCTGAAACTTATGTTTCAAGTGACGAATTATATTTAATGTGGTGGGGATTGATAAGAGGTACAAGAGATGCGCCCTAGCACGAAATCGAAGAGGTATTAGTGACTTGTACCAAGTTCCAACCATAGTAGAGTTGCCGCATGCCTTTGTTGCGAGTGTGTCTGGCCAAGATGCGAATCCATTCGAATACACTGCACCCCTCAAGACTTCCCATTTCCGACGTTTCGGACGGGTAAATAGCCAGAGATCGAAAGAATAAGATCGGCCATCACGGGTTGAGATCCACAAGATACAATGAGTGAAGGGAACTGTCTTATTTGGTACATTCGAATCAACATGAGGATAGTTGCTTTCTTGAAGATACCAACCTCCAGAACGGTTGAGAAATCTCAGTCACATGCGCATGCATGGAAGCCTACAAAAGGCCAGAATTTGAGAACTTGACTTCTTTGAGAATAGTTTTTGCATGGCAATTGCAGGTTTAAACCACTGCACTCCTACAAACTACAGAATACTAGTTTACATCATTCTACACAAGTATAATGGGAGCAATATGCATTGTGAGGGAAGAGATCAAATCCTGAAAACAATCTATGGGCCTAACAAGCTCATAACATTACGACAACCGAATCAAATTGAAGAAGTTTTTGATTGTATATACTATATACAGCCACTCAATAATCTTAAGGATTTGAAAAATCCAAGTTTTGTGACAATGAGAGATCAATTTGCATAGCCTGATCTCCTTCATTCTGCCAACTTTTTCCCTTGCTACAGTTTCTCAATTCCATTATATAGCTTCTTATACCAAAGTGAATCTGAAATCAATTCCTTCACCCGCCCGATTTCTTTTCCCATGCCCACCGGCTAGGCTTTATAATTTGCTTCAATAGCACCATTTTGGGAACCTTCCAATGCTCCACATGTCTGATAAAAGTTGCATGTTAAGAAGTTGGTAAAAACAGGAAGCGGGTCCAATGAAAAAGAGTAATTCTCCCCATAAAATGTTACCTGCATACTTTTCCAGACTGCGCATCGTAAAAGTATTCTGTGTATCCAGTTGCTGCAATATAATACATTCACAAGAGTATCAAAAAAACTGAATGCAGGTAGCAAATATTTCATTCCTGCAAAACATGAATCAGTATGTACCGGAGAGAATGGGCCTCCAAGGGAAGGACAAGATGCAACTAAAGCGCCAGTGTCCAACTCCCTTGTCCTGGGATCACCAAATGCAAACAAAGTTATCATTCGAACTTCTAGAAAGGACGAAGAACAAGATGCTTTCGATGATGTAAGCTCAGAAATTTTAGGAATCACTATAATCAGGAAGACATGGCTGGTAGCTGAAGGGTGATTAATCATGTCAGAAAGCTGACCTCGAAATCTTCCCACTTCATGAGCTTCATATTTGATTTCTCAATAAGTGAACCAAAATTGGTACAATTCCTTTTGAAGCGACGAAGCCCTCTAAAGGAACCGGCTGGGTCAGCAAATTCACAATCCTCTTCATAAACATGGAGTGTGAGGTTTCCTAATCAATGCAGAAGGCATGTAAGCACGACCAAAGAATCTTAAATTATGCAGAAATAGAATGTAAAAAAGATTGTTTGAGAATTTGAATTTAAAGACAATAAATCCACCAGGAACACTGGAATTCGAAACAAGCCGCTATACCATTCTGAATCCTACTTTTCTCATGTGATCGACACGTCACCTGTTTCCCGCATTACAATCAGGTTTAACAAGCGTAGTCGTATCACTGATATAAGTACGTCCGCTATTCTGTACGCATGACATCTCTGCAACTATATCGGACACGAGCAGCTGCACATGTCTAGGGCTGAACTGATAGAAATTCTTATTATCTTTCCTGTTACCAGGGCTTCAGTGGGTAATATCCATTCAGTTGCGCTTCAAAACTGAAGATTAGGTAACGAGGGGTCTTGTGAAAATTCGCACTCGTGGCTATAAAGCATGCAGCGAGATTAAACACCAGTAATAGAGGACTATCTCAGTCTTCTGGAAATCAACTCGCGAAAGAAAATAGCAAGAAAATCATTAGAGTCGACGAAAACATAGAAGAAAAACAAACCCTCCATCACATTTCCTGCTAGTTCTAACAGAATGGAAAGAGAAGCATAAATTCACACACCCAATGTGTCTAAAGCACACATCAGCGAGGTTCATAAGCGTGCGCAGTGTCCAAAGGGTGAACCCAGTTCTCCGATCACCAAATTATAGACTTAGAAGTTAGACCTAAGCTGGTTTTACAACTACTTCTTCCTTCAGAGGCATTAGGATATGTGCATTGCCACTGGAAGTTTGCCAAGAAGAACAAACAAATCGCAGATATTTTCTTTGCCAATTCCATATCCTGAGACCACTCAAGCCTACAAGCCCACTTCAGTCGTTGCCAAATAGCAGGGCGGACACTCAATTTAACATGCGAATCGAGACAATCGCCGTCGATTCGTGTCGTTCTAAAGAAATGCTCAAGTGACTACTTGTGGGCACGATTCATCGCAAGCAAAATTCGGTAGACCTTTGCTATCGTTCTGAATGTGAACAATATGGCCAAACCATCTATGAAGAGGCAGTAGAAGAATGACGCACCCGTGACGAAGTAGGACCTCCGGTAGTCCTCCTTGATGGTCTCAACCACCACGCCCCGATCAAAAGCTCCCGATCCATCCCCGGCGAGCACGAAGTCCCTCGCCGGAGCTTCGGCGCTCGCCGGCGACCGGAAGAACGAGGCGGCGATGCCGAGGAGCTCGGAGCCGTACCAGGCCGCCTTGAGCAGCGCGTTCTCGGGCTCGGGCTTCGCTTCGGCGGACGAGTTGCGGGCCGGGTTCTCTCCGAAGCAGCGCAGCCTGTCGATCTTGGGGTGGTTCGCCGGGGCCGGAGAGGCAAGTTTATGGCGGGAGTTGGGGTGGGGAGTGCTGGGAGCGAAAGACAGAATCGCTGCCATTGGAGAGGAAGACAGAGCGAGATTTTTTCCCGCGGTTTCTCCAAAACCGCAAATGAGGTATCACCGAACGGTAGCCACAAAAAATGGGTGCTGTCCCGGATCATTGGCCCACTTGGCTAAAGTCTCGTTACCAGAACATTCAAGTCCACCTGTTGGGGTGAGCATTAGTCAGGGTTGAACCGGTAGCCGAACCGAACCGGCCATGGAAACCAGCCGGTTCCAAGTTCCCGTGGTTACTAATTCCAAAAGAGTGGAACCGGTACTATACGGTTTGATTCCCGGTTCATAGGTAAGACTCGAATCGGAAACCGCGGGAACTAAATCGGAAACAGGGAACTGACGAAGTGGAATAAATATATATGGTAAAGTTTTTTAATAATTATTTCAGATTAATTAATATTAATTTTAATTTAAAACTATTATTAAGTTATTAACTATTCATGTGGTTAGACTTTGGAGCAATTTTTCATTGATGATTGAGGATTGAAGTTATGTAATTTAAGCTTATGTTACGTGTTTTGAACTTTTTATTATTTATTTTATATTACGTGTTTATTTTTTTGTGTATTGTTGTTATTGACAAATGGGTATTTTTGTTGTTGCGTTCACTAACAAAAACTAGAAGAAAAAATTATCAGAAGAAAAGGAAGTTGGCTGGTTCTTGGGTAAACCCTAGAACTGATTAACTGGATAAATTCTACATTCCAGATTTCAGGATATGAAAGATAGGTTTCAAATTTCAAAAACCGAGAAACCAGTTCCAATAGAGTAAATTTTAGGTCCTAGGTGGAATCTAAATTGACTCTGGAATAGGGGTGAGCACGGGTCTAGGGTAGAACCGGGAACCGGAGAACCGAATTGTGCTCTGATTTCCGGTTCTAGGGAGGGAGGCTTCGGTTCCCGATTCCATTTTTTTAGAAACCGTCCGTTCCGATTCCGGTTCTTGAACTGAAACCGGAACCAAAACTGGGAACCAGAATCGAGAACTGGGAATGGAACCGGGAACCGAAAACCCTAAATCTAAAATCCCTAATTTTCTTACTACTCCTCGCTTCTTACTTCTTAACTCTCAAATTCTCATCTCTGTCCGCATGCTTATTGCTTTGCTTAACTTGTCATGTAGACCATTTTCTAAGGTTTGTTTAGACTTTTGATTTATTGTGGTTTTGGAGTACCCACCATTCGCATGCTCATTGCTTTGCTTAACTTGTTATGTTTGGGTATTCATTGTCATGTATCTATACCAAGTTTTTGTTCTTTAGTGAGATCGATTGTTTTCATCATTTACTCTTTTAAAAAACATCTTAAACTTGATGGTTGCATAGTTAGAACCATAGTGATAATGGATGGTGGAATGAGAAAAGAAAAAGTTGTCGTTGCAGTTGCAGTTGGAAATAATTGATACGCAACACTTTAATTTAAAATTTAAAACTATTATTAAGTTATCAACTATGATTGTTGTTTCTTTTGATTTTAGGTGTTTAGAATTTGGAACAAATTTTCATGGATGTTTGAGGACCAAAAGCTCATCTTTCTTTCCTTTTTCATGCTTCCCATTTTGTTTGTGGTCCTAGATATGGATATTGTCTTGATCGACATGCTAATCCCGCGTGAATTTTGCGTATCAATTCATGCAATGACTTTATCATTTTAATTGTATTTATTTGAACCGTAATGTTAGGAAAACTAGTCTTTTGTATTCTTTTTGGTGAATGATAAGTTTGTTTGATATTGTTGCGTTCATTTTCGTTTTGTTTAACTAAAAATGAAACTCAAAAAAAAAAAAAGAACTTGTTGGACCTTGGAACCTGTGACAAGGTAGGTTCTAAGTTCCAAGTTTTGATGGTAGGTTCTAGGTTTCAAAAAATGAAAAACCTATATCCGAGGGTAAGTTCCGGATTCCAGGTGGAACCTGGAACCGCTCACCCTTACTCTAGAACAGCTCACCCCTAGTTATTGATCAATTGAGGACTTAAAAAACAAATTGATCACTTGATAATTAAGGTTTAAGAAAACTCCAATTAGATTTGGAGCTCGTAGTCCATGGAATTTAGATTGAAAATTCAATGTGGCACTCACATGGATTATTTGATCATCTGCCGCTGTCATTTTCGATGTATAATTTTTGTCAACGGTGATCTCGAGACTTGATTGTGGCTTTTTAAAATCTCAAGTCCTTAATTGACCAAAATAAAATATTAAGTCCCTTATTTGACTAAAGACCAAGGCTGTATTCGTTTGCGGAAAAATATTTTTCCGGAAAATATTTTTTGCGTTTTCCGGTGTTCGGGGGCGGAAAATGTTTTCCGTGGGAAAACATTTTCCTTCCCCACCCCCAAATCCTCAATTGTTTTGAGGAAAATGATTTCCTCTTTTCACAAAGAGGAAATCATTTTCCCCCAAATTGAAGGCAAAATTGCCCATGGGAGGGAAAATATTTTCCGTGGGAGAGGAAGTTGATCGCGGTCACCACCGTTGGCCGCCGGTCGGCCGGCTGCCGCCTCCGCCGCCGGTTGCCCGCCGCCGCCGCCCGCCGCGCCGGTCGCCGGCCATTACCGCCGCCCGCCGCCGCCGGTCGCCGGCCGTTGCCGCCGCCCGCCGCCGCGGTCGCCGGCCGTTGCCGCCGCCCGCCGCCGCCGGTCGCCGGCTACATGCCGCCGACCGCCGCCGCCGGTCGCCGGCTACATGCCGCCGCCCGCCGCCGCCGGTCGCCGGCCGTTGCCGCCGCCGCCGCCGCCGGTCGCCGGCTACATGCCGCCGTCGGTCGCCGGCCGTCGCCGCGGTCACGGTGAAAAATATTTTCGAAACTTTTTCATATTGGTCGCGAACACCGGAAAATTATGTTCCGGGAAAACATTTTCCGGGAAAATGACTTTCGGAAAAATATTTTCTAAAAGGAGAATATTTTCCGTAAACGACAAAGACCAAGACTCTAATTTTTTTTTTGGCGCTCATCTCTTATTTGCAACTTATTCCCAAGTTTTATTCAAAATGTTTGTGTCTTAGGCCTCTAGTTCTTCAGGGCAATAGGACGAACAATGTTTGTCAAATCATAAGCTACATCAAGATCTATCTTATACGAACTTATACATATAAGAATGATTTTCTTCTAATGTACAAAAGCTTAGGATGCAGGATGGGGCGGGGTTGACTCGATTTATTGGGATAGTAGGTCACATTGGCATCCCTAGCCTCATGAAGGCAATGCAACTTTTATCAGAGCCACCATAACCACATCGACGCTGCAGCTATGTAGTTGTAACGAGATGGAAGGCTATCGGAGTAGGGTGTGATTGGTCGATGTCTTAAAAGCAAGGAAACTTGATGTTGTGTAGAAAAAGAGAGCATAGACAATTTGTGAGCATGGAAATTCTTATCACGTTTAGGATTTATTCGAAGTGACTTTTTGCTTTTCTCAAATTTTGTAATGCCCATATTTTGAGTTGTCTAGTCATCAAAACCTAAAAATTTTTCGAATAACATTTCTCATTCACATGTTTCTTGCAAGCTCAGTTTGATTTTTTGACATTATTGGTTATATTTTGTTGGTCAGATGATTATTAATGTTCCTAATTGGATTAGCTATGCCCGCCCACGATCCATCCAATTATAGCAGTTTCTCTCTAAATTATAGCAAGTTTTTGAATTCTCGAGCACGACCCGGCAACTCCCAAGAAACACAGTTTTAAAAAGCCTACTAGCCAGGTGTGATGCTGTTTGCAACCCATATTTTCTAGTGTTATTGCCATTAAGGACGTCATTACAACTACCAGTCATTTTCACTTAGGCTGCGTTTGGTCGACCGGATAAAAGCTAGGATAGGATATGTTTTATACTATCCTGCGTTTGGTGGTGGTCCAGGATAGGATAAGGTCGGATATAGACCGGATAAAAAAATCCGGGGGGGGGGGGGGAGGATGGGATAGACCCATATAGGATTTCTAATGCCTATTTTTCCAGAAATCCTACGCTCCACTTGCCGTCATCTTCATCCCTACACCTTGTGCGCTTTCACCAAAAAAATTTCTCGGCTTTTTTTCCTTCATTGACTCCTCCGGACCCGTGAATAGCAAAAAAAAAAAATTATCATATCCGACTTTAAATCCGTAGTCCACCAAACAGTGGACAAGATATGAAGAAATCTCAGGATTTCTTATCCTATCCTATCCAGTCCTATCCTGTTTAGAAATCCGGACGACTAAACGCAGCCTTAGATGATAACTTACACATTTCATTATGTCTATGAACCTTTCTAGCTAAAAATAGAAACAGATAGTGAGACTATTTCGTAGATTTCAAAATTAGGTAAGCCTTTTGCGAGGTTTCGATCGGAGCCCGTTAGATCATTTTCAAACGAAATGCAAACCTAGGAAATGCCCATATTTATAATGAGATGCCGACTTATAAGAAACCGCGTATTTACGATAATCTTTTAGTTATACTTGACGCACCGCTTACGATGTGTCGATCCAAAATAACAACAATTTGTCTGCCGTGATTAACTTTGATGGCCAGTTCACATCCTCGTAGACATTGAGTAGTTTTCTACCCTTCTTAATTTATGGAAAATACTTAGACGTTCGTAAGGATGCCATGCATTGACAATTCGATCGTCTTATAATGATGCCATGCATGGACAAAAAAAATTATGCGAGGATCAAATTACAAAAGTAGTTGAATTGCAAGATGATAAAGATGTTTTCCCGACCCTATGTCATGAAATAGATGCCGCAGAGTTTAATACTGGAGAAGCACGGCCGTCTCATAATGAGGCGTGCATGATTTGCCCTTTACAACGTGATAATGATACGAGGAGAAGTAAATCGCTTAAAAAACGATACTTTCCAAAGTTTGATTAATTTGAAATTGCTGTGCTTTTGCATGAGCACTGTCGCTTGATTAGGAGCAATCGAGTCAAGCTACTCGTGCATAGCTTTGCCTTGAATCGATGATTACTCGAGATCGACTTGTCTTATTTCAAGTCTAGCTCGAGCTCACCAAGTTTCAGTTTGACTAGCTCGCAAGTCTAACGAGGCTTCAATTAATTTCTTTTTAAATTTATTAGTTAAATCGA